GTTGGACAGATGTTCCATCACCGCAGAAATTTTTCACGTCCTCAAGGTGTCGACAATCCGTCAGTGCAGGGACATGGCTGCCATTGTTGAGACGCCGGAGGCTACGCAGCCTGAAGCTGTGGAAGTTCCGGCAGGAACTACAAACGACGAGCCTGCGCAGGCTGAGGCAGAGACGAAAGTTGCCACAGCGCCTTGCGCTAAGTGCAGGGTGTCATGCACGGTGACCGAGATGGTCTTCCGCCCCCAGTATAAAGATGGACTGCAGTATACGTGCAAAGGTTGCAATGCTGTAAGTGCACAGCTGCAGCGCAATGGCCTCTTCGTCGGCCAGCTGTTGAAGACGGAAGCTGACATGATTCAGTTCTACTCGGATGCGGCGCTGGAACGCAAAAATTGTGAGCAAGGCCGCCTCACCTTTGCGAGGACTAGAGCGCTCCTGAAGAAGCAGATGGTGCATGAGATCCAGCGGCGAGAAGTGGACAGGCAGGATGCCGAATGGCAACCGCTATCGGTGTATGAGTTGCGCGGATATGACACTGAGGCAATCCGCGCCCGTGCGCCCATGGAGAATCACCCCATTCTGGCGGAAACCTTCAAATTAGAAATCCACAAGGAGTCGCTGGAAAACATCACCCTGCAGGTCGAGCGGCAGCTAGCAGAAATGGAGCATGCTGCTCTCGAGCGCAAGAAGAGCGCCGCTGCAGCTGCGGCAGTCCCAGAGCTGGACTTGGAAACCATTGCTGACGCTCCTGCAGAGCGCAAGAGAAAAGGACCGCTGACCGCCGAGGAAAAGGAAGCGAACAAGATGGCGCGCCTCGCTGCCAAAAAGAAAGAGGATGAACGCAAGGTTGCGACAGCGTCCGCGGCCAAGGTGCTGCCGCAGCTGAAGAAGGCGCAATGCAACTTGAAGGACAAGATCGGTCGCATGGGGGAAGATATGCAGCAGCTTCCTGCTGCCAGCTTGGAGCAAGTCCAAACGGCGGAGGCCAATTTGGATGATGCGGTTACCAAGGCATCGCAGCTTCTCGATGCTGCGGCCAAAGGGAAGCCGTTTGATACGGCGGACTTGAGTTGGAAGAAGGAGAAGGAACTGACTCAGTTCGCGAAGGACGCCAACCAAGCCACCCGCACGATTCAGGAGTACAAGCGCGGCAGCGCGCCTGCCAAGGCAGCTGGAAAAGGACGTGGCAAGGGAGCAAAAGGCACTCGCCTTGGTGGCGCCTAGCTGTTCCAAGTTGTCGTCAGCACTATAGCGTGATCGCATATGCTGAACCCGCGAGGTCGCGGCCAGAATCATTTGTGCATGTGTGATATAACACATTGCGCTGCATAGACTGCAAACAATTCGAAGTTGGCACATAAGTCTTTACCAAAGGCAGCTTGCTTGTGTTGCAGGGAAAAGGAAACCGGCGATATGTGGCGGAAGGGTGTTTTGGCTTGTGCCTGCATGGACTCATGCCGTTGCACTTTTCACGACGTACATGCATACCTCTAATCATTTATATATATATATATAACATGCTAAATATAATATATCAAATAGATAAAAACATTTGCCATGTGAATATACATTATGACATGTATGGAAATATCTTACGAATCCACATTGCGCACTTAAGTATCTCTCTCTCTCTCTTCTGATATAGAATAATTATAGTATTATAGTTATGCGTTGTATATATGAAAGTGCATTTGCAGGTGAGAACATGATCAAAATTCATTTTTTGAACTGCAGCTTTTTTTCTCGGAGCAAAAGCAACGCAATCCCACGCCATGTCTCAAGCAAGCAGCGTGGTGCTAGTGTCTGTGGCTGCGGAGGCGGCGTATGCAAGCCTGAGTAAGAACGCAAGCCCCAAAGATCTCCATGACATGGGTCACGGCTCAGTTGAGTTGCTCCGGGAAGTCTTGACGCAAGTCGAGATTGGTGAGAAGCATCCGGAGTTGAAGCAGACAGCAGAGGCCATGGGGCTGCTGCTGCTCCTTCTAAAGGGCTTGTTGCTCGGATGGGATGGCGAAGACTTTCCAAAGGCAATTTTGGAATTGCCATTGCAACGGCTGCCAAAAACATGGCCCAACCAAGCGTGGAAATTGAAGCACCCATGTCCGCAAGTATTGGCAGATGAGGTGAAAGCCAGTCTTCGGTTCCTGGACAACCAGCCGACTTTGTCAGGTGAGCCCTGGGAGTGGCTAGCAGACAGCTTCCGGAGCATCCAAACGGTCTTATAGAGTAGACTATATACATACGCAGCCTATTGTACAGTCGGTTCTTTTTGAATGCAGCTTGCGCGTGACGCAACGAATGCTATGCTGTGGAGAAGGCATGAATCGATTCGATTACAGTATCCATGTCTGCCAGAATGGTTGCAACAGAGGCCGGATTCACATTCTATATAGGATATAACCATATATAAATAAGTATACATTGACAGTGCTTCTGCCTGATGTATAATTCGATCTAAATATAAATAATAAAAAAGATATATATATATAATTATATATATATCTCTTTCTCGCACACACGGTATGAAGAAATTGTTCTTTAAATTATCATATGTCGTAGTGCATCGGTCTAGTCTGATCCCTTCCGGCACGCATTCACGCAGCTTATCCGGTTTTATCTGCAAGTTTTTTGTTTGGCCCTTCAGCAAAACATGCTGCCCACGTCCCAGCCAGCGGCGAAGCGCCGGCGCTTGGAGAGCGCCATGGCGCGCTACAGTGAGAACAGCATTGCCCAGATACAAAACATAGCAGACGGCAAAGACATAAAAGACCAAAGAAGCGGATGGCAGAAGCGCGCCTTCGCTATCGCGCTGTCACCTGTGAGGCATTGCTTCCATGCGCTCGAGGCGCCAAACAAGGACGGTTTGGAGCAACCTGTGCGCTTTGCAGTGGCACGGATGGATCCGCTTCTCAAGTACATTGCCGGCAAGTGCCCAGACTTTCGGGCAGACTTGGAGCAGGCGCCTTCGCCTATCCAAGTCGTCCTCAGCTGGGATGAAACCACCGCAGGCAATGTGCTGGCGACCCAGGCCCGCATGAAAGCAACGATCTTCTATATCACCTTCAAACATTGGCAGAAAATACATGAGTCCCCCGATGCGTGGATCCCAGTGGCAGCGATCAGCCACGAGCAGGCTGAGCAAGTCGCTGGCGGAATGAGCAGGGTGCACCAGTTGTTTGTGGAAAACTTTGTGGAACAACGATTAGATCAAGGTGCATGGATTACACCCACCACCAAAATATCTCTGGAACTTGCTCTCTTTGTGGCAGACCAAGATGCGCAAAGGGCCGCGCTGGCAGCAAAAGGTTCTGCTGGTTTGAAATGTTGCGCCTTTTGCCAAAATTGCTTGGCCAAAAATGCCGCCGGCGCAGCTGTGGACGCCCAACGTTTTCGCACCACAGCCCATGCAGATATAGAGTGGTTCACTCCCAACACGCAAATGCAACTCCAGGGATACATCAGGAAGGCCTTAGACCGCTGGTCCGACATGACATGTAAGGACAAAGACCTGGTAGAGAAATGCCTGGGTTTTCGGATCACGCGCGACAGTATGTGGGTCTCAGATGTTTGCTGCTCGGCGCTGCCGTTGCAACGCTACATGAATGACGCAATGCATTGCTACTATGCCAATGGTGTGGCAGCTATAGAAATTAATTTGACTGCAAGCAGTGCAACGCTGCACTGGGGTTTCCAGCTTAGACTTGAAGCAGGCAGTGCTCCAAGCAGGCTGGAAACGAAGTGGTCAATCGTTGCGTGAAGGACAGAACAAATGGTGGTGTGGCCGTCTCTTTGTTCCGGCTTTTTTTGTGGGTTCCACTTACAAGGGAACGGCGAAGCAAACCATGGCTTTGCTGCCTCTGCTCCTATGGTTGGCAGAAAGTGTCTGGAGCAAAATTGCTGCTCTGCGGCCTATGGTGGACTCTTTCATCAAGCTTGGCAAATGCGTCCAGTGTCTCCGCAGCATTGCGGAAAGCCGCAATTGGAAGGAGTTGCAAAAGCTGCAAGAGGCGCATCAGCAAGCGTTCGCGCGCTGCTGGCCCGAAGAAGTTAGACCGAAGCACCACCACCGCTTGCATCTGCCCCGGCAATACGCGGCGGAAAAGTTTGTCGGCTCATGTTGGGGAACGGAGTCGAAGCATCGCTTCTACAAAAGCTGCTATGCAAAAAACTTGCAGCAATTCCTCACTGCCAAAGATGGCGGCTTGGAATTTAGCGACAGATTAATGCCACGGCTGCTTCTCAGACACACAGAACTCATTCGGGCAAAAGTCTTCGCGCCAACGCGCTTTGTCCTTGAGAACTTGTTCGACCCTGCAGACGTCAATCAATTCGCAGCCGGATTGGAAGCCTGTCGCGTTGCAGCTCGCTGCCGCACGGGTTTGCTGCAGCTGCAAGAAGGCGATCTCTTGCTGCATGGCACAGACGCCACGGAAGCCGGGTATTGTCACTGCTTCATCGACCACAAAGGTGAGTTGTATGTTTATGCAACTCTCTGCTCGCTCGTGCTGCACACTGCGGCACTGAGAAACTTCGAGCGCACCACAACCAAGCAGATGCTGAAGTGGAACAATTTGCTCACGCCTGCCGTGTGCAGCTGGTGGCGCCCAAGCCATCCAAATTACGTTTTCTGCATGCCTTGAGAGAAAAAAAAGTGCTCGCGCCATGACTCCAACCTCAAACCGGTAAAATAATCGTGAGAACCATTAAATTTAGCCCTAAACCGCAATTTCAACAAACAAAAAACTTAGCGAACTTATAAGATAGATATAACTTGCTTTATAACTTCTCTAACTTAAGTTATGTTAACTTCAACCTATCTTCGGTAACTCAATTATAAGTTACATAACTTCATCTTATCTTGCAGGCACCACTTTGTATGTGTATTGAGGCATTATTGCTATTTGACGAATATTCATGGATGAAACAAAACGCTCTCGCTGTTGTTCGTTGAGGTCTGATTGAACCAAGCAAATCAAGGACATCAAGTTATCCGACAATGGAAAATCAAGTTGATGCTGGGCCTTTCTGTTTGTGATGGTCTGTTCCCGAAGGGTCGTTTGGTGCTTCAATCTTTCTTCATCTGTTTGCAGTTGCTGGTGGTGCAGTCGCTGCTCATCTGTTGATGCTGCTATAAATGCCTGCGTGCCTGTTTCCAGTATATCTGAGAGATCAAGCACGTCGGACCATGACGCCAACAGGCGCTTCTGAGCGATTTCGAAACGCCCTATATCCAGTGCACGAATTCGCTCTGGCCTCGATATGTGCGAAACATCTGAAGGAATCGCCAAAGGAACACATGATTTACTCCCTTCACGAAGTAGGGTCTCAATGTGTCCTTGAAATGAGCGAGGCCACGATCCGGATCTCGGAGTAGGGCATTGTCGAGCATCGACTTGTAAAAAGAAGCTGAACCTACGAGGGCGTTCTTCAATGATGGTCCGTGCTTGTCTGGGTCCAATGTGTAATACCGAGCCAGTCATCAATGAAATCTTCATATTCAAACCAGCTTGATTGGCCATCAAATTGGGGAGGTACCTTAGGAGTCATTTTGATGCCTAGCCGGTTTTCGGCGTGACTGGCTGCAAAGGCTTCAGGCTCTTCATATGAGACAATTTAAAGTTGCTCTTCGTCTGAGTCCATGTTGTGGATTAAGACCACAGCAGCGATTTGGATTTGACCTACAAGTTGCCTTCGCAAGTCCGAATTTCGGAGCAGATGCTATAAAAGAACAACTGCTGTACAAGTTTTTCGGAACTTGGCAAAGGCACAGGCTCCGCTACCACTTTGAGGTAGCAATCCCCTCTATTAAGGCAGCCCTGGATCTACGATAGTCGTTGGAACACTTGTGGTCAACGCGGCGGCAAGCTACACCTTTTAGCTGCGGTATGCAAGCAAGTCTTGAGCCACGGACTGGCGCAGTGGTCCATATGAATTAATGTGAACATGTCATGTACATGCAACACTGAAAGCATGCATTGTGAAGACACGTCCCCAAAACTAGATTACAGGGGCCAGTTTGAGTTCCAGTTCAGTTCGGGTTCGAGGGGGGTTGCGAGTTCGAGTTCGAACTGAGTTTGAACTCAACTATTTTTTTTTCGGGGGGTGGGGGTAGAGTTCGAGTTCAGTTAGAGCGGAGCTCACTTTGGACCGGAAAAAATCTTACATGGATTATCGAAGGAAGTTTAGAAGTCAAACTTCCGACAATATACAGATGAAAAGCAGAGCAGGGCAGAGGCAGAGAGAAGGGAAAAGATTAGAAGAGAAAGAGTCAGAAGAAAGAAGATGCAGATGCGCGAAAAGGTAGGAAAGTCGCAAAACACTGTGTTTTTCCAATGATTTGAGGCTCCGGAGGGTCGAAAAGTAAGCTCGCTAAAGCGTCGGGTGCGGAGCCATCTGGCCAGATGAGAGATATAGGCTCGTCCCAGGTCCTGGAACCACATACGATGGGGGGGGGGGGTGGGGTGGGATGTTAACGTTCAGTGTGAACTTGCAGGGGGGGAATTGGAGTTAACGTTTCATGTGAACTGCAGAAGAAGTTGATGATACGGCACACGCGGGGGTGGGGTGGGGGGGGTAGGGATGGGGTGGGGATGGGATGTTAACGTTCAGTGAACTTGCAGGGGGGGGAAGGGGAAGTTTAAACGTTCATGTGAATGCAGAAGGCAGTTGATGATACGCCCACGCGGGGTGGGGTGGGGGGTGGGATGGGGTGGGATGTTACCGTTCATGTGAACTTGCAGAAGCAGTTGATGCTACGCTCACGAGGACTGGGACAATATATATATATACACATGTATATATATTTGAATATATTCACAGAATTCTTTAGATATCTATGTATATTCATCATATTTCAATATATATATATGAACTTACATATGTGTATGATGATGATGATGATGATGATGATGATGATGATGATGACCCTAATGAAACTTGTCAATTCCGTGACGAAATGAAACTTGTCAATTCCGCGACGAAATTTCATCACGGAATTGACAAGTTTTACCAACCTAATTCAGGTTTGCGCGGTTCCAAGACCTGGGACGAGGCTTGCCTTCGCAAGTCCGAATTTCGGAGCAGATGCTATAAAAGAACAACTGCTGTACAAGTTTTTCGGAACTTGGCAAAGGCACAGGC